GCAATCCACTGTTCCTGGGCTCATTCTGGACAGCATTGGATGACGTTCCCATGAAACAACATCTCACTCATTCCACAGGCAAAACTGATAGATAAACTCTGTAGTCAGTCCATCCCAAGTATGCCAATTCCAGATCTGAGATTGGAAATGACAACTTTTATTTTGTGGGCAACACCATTTGTAATGAGCCAGAAAACACTTCTCCTCTAATGTATAGTCTATCGCCAATTGCCAGAACAAAGTCGGTTTTCCTTGGCCATAGTGGTGGCCTAACTCGAAGGGCTTTAAAGATCACAAGGTCCACTCCTATTTCTACCACAAACTTATCCTCTCACCCTTACAGCCTTATCAGCACTTAACAAGCTTCACCCAGTCCTGAAAGAACTAGGATGACTACTAAATGTTTTCATACAAGCTGTTCACTGTGTTCCCCTTAGCCAGTGGACAAGCCAAACTAGGGTTCTATCAGTTTCATTGAGATTTTTCCAAAGCACCCACTGCTTCTTAGTGGCCATGCTGGACCTGCTGATCTAATGGCTGGTATCAGTACTCTTTCTTCCCTTTAAGCTCGCAAAAATGTTAATGTTGTGGGTTTATGGATGTCTTTCATCTTTGCTGTGCTGCACCACTGTCCCACTAGTATACAAGCGAAGCAGATACTTTGCTCTTCCCATTCAGGATAATGTCCAGGTTGAAGCATCAGCCTTTGCTGTAGCATTTATCCCGTGAGTAGACTTAATGGTTACATGTATTTTTGCAATGGCACATACACCATGGGCATATCTACATAGCCTTGCCCATTTACTGGAGAGTAGCATGGTTGCATTGCATTTCTGTCTGGAATAGACCACTGATTTTTAATATTTCAACTGGGTTTAGCCTGCCATGGTGAAGATACCTGGGTCTAACCATCCACTGGTGGAATTGCCACAACAGCCACTGTCGCAGGATTCTTTCCCTGTCTATTGGTTTGAGTCCATCCATTCCAGGCAATGACCGGCCTGAGAAATTTTAGGAACTGATCTTGGCCCTCTCTTGCTATCTTCTTGAACATTGAGGGACCTGTCTGCTAGGTCAAAGCCTTTCTCTGTCATATAATCCTAATGGATGCCAGGAAAAAATACTGCCCATATCCTCAGTTCTGGGCAGAAGCCACTCAGAGAGATTATGACACTCCAGCAGGTGGTTAGTTCCTGGTACAGGGATACAGAGCAACGAGCTCCTTGAGGTGGCTCATTGTACAGTCCTGCACAGGCCCACATGCTGCGAGCTGCTGTCAATGTCATGAGCAACTTTTCTGTTTTGAAAGTTACTTCATTTCATAAGTCAAAGACTTCACTCATGGGTGCCTATATCCCCATCTTCTAGAATGAACTCTGAACGGCAGAAATCATCCACCAATGGCATCCAGAGCTGTAGCTTCTGTACTCGAAATGGTAACAGCCCAAGAGTACAATAGAGACTTCTCCACAAAGTCTCTAACTTGCCAGGTGCCGGGCCATTCCACTGAACTTAAACCATCAATGGTTTCCTTCCACAAATATCGATCCTCAAGAGTATTGACTGCTTGAGAGGTCTGGGTGCATCAGATGTGAATAAATCTCCCTGAGTCAATGGTTGCAGGCTTACCAATGTCATGGGCTTTCACAGCATCAGAGAAAGTCCTGAGTTCAAGTGAGGACTTCTTCTAGACTCAACATCTCTCCTATATAGCCATATCTTTCAACTAGTAAACTCACCCTCTTGGTCATGAGTATTCCTACATCAAGAAAATTTCATTCTTTTTGTAAGAATTGTTCTTCAAAACTCTTTTCAACTCGAGAGATCAAGCAAATGTTAAAATGCATGTTATCACTTCAGAAACTCTGCAATAAATCCTGATGGAATGACACGAAAATTCCTCTTCCTTATATACTTAATAATTTTGGTATTTTGAAGTAAAAAGCTATCTTCCTGACAAGTATCAGATAGACAGAACTGCTGCATTGGATAATTTAACAAAATCTTTCCCATGTGTGTAAAATAATGAGACTATATAAAGTTCGTAAAAGTAAAAATGGAAATGATTTTTATTATTCAAAAGCAACAACAACAACAACAAAAGAAAATGCAGCATACACAGTTGCGTATACGAAAAGACGGTCTCTTCATTTAGGCTATGCATAGTCTCGTAGCTTTCTTTCTCTCAAGATTGATCACAGTAGGATTAAACACGATGATCTGTATGTAAGTATTCATTCGACAATATCCTTGTAGACTGGCTCAAGAAAGCGTGTCTTAATCGAACAGGTAAGCTTTCTTTCTTTGTTCAGTTGAAAGCATCACCTTGTGACCTTGGTTCTCTTACTGAGGTCAGCTTTTCCATTTAAACAATGTGAACCTAGCCAGTTAATTCTTTCAACCCGGATGCCATTAATTACTGCATGCAACTAGAACAAAGCAATTTTAAAAACTTTCTGGACCGTGTGCTGCCGCTATTATAGTATAGAAACTCTTTTTTTTAAATTAATATTCCTATTTAACAGTCTTAAGAAAATGATCTGTGGAATAGGTTTAAGAAAAAATAGATAGTTCAAAATATTAAAACATTGAAACATAAATTATTGGCATACTTGAGATATGCTTCATTTTTATCAATATTGTTACGACAGCGGAAGTTCCGTGACCCTGGTAACACGTGATGAGTTTCTAGAAGGATCGAGGAACATCACGAATAATCCAGTATTTGCTAGGCGCCCTCTATTTTGTATATATAAGACCGGCAAGAAGTGACGATATAGAGAATAACTACAGACAGATAATCGAGTCAAGTAACATGCGTGAATCGTTGTGAATTCTAGCGTGTGTTTAAGTTAATGTGACTGTGGAAATTAAGTGTATTGCAAAGTTGTATTGAGAAAGAATAAACTAGTTTTATTTAAGAAAGGACTTGTATCGCTGAAGTTCCTCGGGAGGAATTTTTACGGGAAATTAACAAACGACCAGAGACATAACAATATTATTTTTCTGCAGACAATTTGGAGAGAGAAAATGTGTGGTATTTTCAGGTAAAACGAATTTCTTATGAGAGTCACAAAATAGTTCTGTAGAATAACAGGATATTTGATAAAATATTTATAAAATGTAATAATTAATTCTCTGAGTCTAAGTAAGTTCGTAAAAAATATAAAAAGACTAGG